CAGGGTACATGAAAACCAATTCATGAAAGAACAGGGTACATGAAAACCAATTCATGAAAGAACAGGGTACATGAAAACCAATTTATGGCAGAACAGGGTAACAAGGAATATGAAAACAAATATAAGACAGAACATGGTACATGCAAATCAGTTCATGGCATAACAGGGTACATGAAAACCAACTCATAGTAGAAAAGGGTACATAAAAACCAATTTATGACAGAAAAGGGGTCAAGAAAACTAATTCACGACAGTACAGGGTACATGAAAACAAATTCATTACAGATCATGGTACATGAAAAACAATTTATGAAAGAACAGGGTACATAAAAACCAATTTATCACAGAACAGTTTACATGAAAACCAATTCATGACAGAACAGGGTTCATGAAAAACAATTTATGACAGAGCAGGATAAGTGAATACCATTTTTTAGGTTAAAATATAAAATAAACACTATACTCTGTTCCTCAGCTTAGTTTAGTTATTTTATGTATATTTGTATCTCATCGTTAAGTTCCTTCAATCGTTTTATTTCATCATTTTTCGTGTTTGTAGAACAAATATATTGATAGATAGATAGATAGATTTCCAGCCAGACTAGACAGTCTCAGATTTGTAATTAATTGTTCTTGATAATTAGTTTCTGTAATTAATCCTCATTTAGGGCCTCATTCAAATATTGGAAGGAGGGAGGAGGGAGGATGGAGGGAGGGATGAATGAGTGGAAAGGTAGGTAATAGGTAGGCAGGGAGATGTTTATATGAAGTGAGTAGTTTTTTTGTTCCTTTGTTCATAATAAATGATTGTAATGTTTTATTCCCATGTTTAAGATAGTGGTTGTTTTATTCCCTTGTTCAATATAGTGGTTGTTTTATTTCTATGTTGTAATTGTTGTTTTTATTCCCATGTGCAATCTTGTTGTTGTTTTTATTCCCATGTTCAAGATAGTTTTTTTTTTTTCATGTTCAAGATAGTTGTTGTTTTATTCCCATGTTTAAGATTATTGTTACGTTATTCCCATGTTCAAGATAGTTGATGTTTTATCCCATGTTTAAGATTATTGTTACGTTATTACCATGTTCAAGATAGTGGTTGTTTTATTCCCATGTTCAAGATAGTTGTTGTTTTATTCCCATGTTCAAGATAGTTGTTGCTTTACTCCCATGTTCAAGATAGTTGTTGTTTTATTCCTATGTTTAAGGTTATTGATACGTTATTACCATGTTCAAGATTGATGTTGTTTTATTCGATCCCAAGTTCAATATTATTATTCACCATTCCTGTTGATAATATTTTAGTTTAATATTTTAATGTTGTTTACCATTTATATGTTAAAGATGGTTGTTTACCATTTATATGTTAAAAATGGTGGTTTACTATTTATATGTTAAAGATTGTTATTTACCATTTATATGTTAAAGATGGTTGTTTACCATTTATATGTTAAAGATGGTTGTTTACCATTTATATGTTAAAGATTGTTGTTTACCATTTATATGTTAAAGATTGTTTTTTACCATTTATATGTTAAAGATGGTTATTTACCATTTATATGTTAAAGATTGTTGTTTACCAATTCTTTGTTGTTGGCCATTTCTTTATTGTTTACCATTTCTTTGTTGTTGACCATTTGTTTGTTGTTTACCAATTCTTTGTTGTTTACCATTTCTTTGTTGTTTACCATTTCTTTGTTGTTTACCATTTCTTTGTTGTTTTCCATTTCCAAGTTCAAAGTTGCCATTCATATGCATATGTTAAAGATTTTTGTCTTCTTTTTCATGTTAAAGATTGCTATGCTAAATATGGTTGTTTACCATTAAACCATGTGAACGAACTTAGAGATTGTTTAAATTTAGATTTTCAGTGACTTCTTTTCGGATACCATTTCTTTCTTAAGTTAAGAATACTGTTAGGATAATCCTCGGAGTAGAAGGGCTGAGAAAATTCTAAAGATTATAGAGATTACAGATTACGGATAATATTTATTAAAGAACTTGAATTTCTAACAAATGTTCGATTGATTGTTACACGAGACAACATATGCAGCTCGATATTAGAACCTATTCTTGTAAAAGTATTAAGGCTTACACTCATACAAATTCATGCTTGAGGGGGGAGAGTTAAATTATACGCTTCAAGGGGAGGGGAGAGAAGATTTCTCCTATTGAAAGCCCTCTCCCCCCCCCTCTCTGCAATCCAAGCCCTTTTCTTATCATTTACGTCGACGGCGTCGCTTGGATTTTATGCAGTATAACGAGGGGAAAGAAGAAGGGGGGAATTGTTTCAGGGGTAAAAAATATTTTTTTCCGATTAAAAATATTGGGAATTTTTGTCTACTTTTATATTTAAGATAAAATTGAAAAACATATTAATTAAAATTCCCGCTTTGCGTCGGTTTTGTTAGAAATATATACAAGAGAGGGGGGGGGGGGCAATATTCAGAACAAACAGACAGTATAGGCAGCTGATAGATAGATAGAGTTTGTGCGCAGGTTATATATGTTAGCGGAGGAACACGCGCCATACCACTGTTAGTAATCCACGCGCCGGGGTTTCTATCTATCTATCTAACTATGAATCTATCTGGTCCCCGCGGAAACCTAACAGTGGCTTGCCCAGGTGCAGAGATCCAAGTATCAGTAGCAGTTCGACTGTCGTAGGGTTAGCTCCTCTTCTCTACAGTGGTAACCGGTAGCTCATCACATCAAGTTAAGGATATGTAACTTTGAACAATTTTTTTCCGTGTTTGGAAATTATTTTAGTAAAAACATTGACATTGATTCACATTCTGCCGCATTTGTGATCGTGAAAAATGGTGGCAAAGCGGAAAATAGCTTTTCATCCGGAGAAAGGATATCCTATCGAACCATCAACTCCTCCTAAAACCGTCCGAAGGAACGCCCGAGAACGAAATCGAGTTCGACAGATAGATCAAGGGTTTGAGAAGCTTAAGTCGAATATCCCAGTCGCTGCAAATCAGAAGAAGATAAGTCGAGTAAAGATTCTGTCGTCTGCAGTTGATTATATTCAGCAGCTCCACAATATACTAAATGAGCATGAGTCTGTTTGCCGAGCTGGAGGGGGTGTAGGAGGACTAGGTGGACTAGGACAACAGGTTAAACAAGAACCTCCACAAACTCAACTGAGTAGATCATTAACTCCTCCTAAACTATTACAAGGAGGGGGCATGAACCCCTTGACCCCCTACCAAGGGTACATGCACTACCCTATGCAGCAGAGCCCCATGAACGTGAACTCCCCTGTCTCCCCCTACAATAGTTTTGAGACGGGTAGTATGAGTAGTGGATACTATTCACAACATTCTCCTAGTATACGCTCTTCATACAGAGACTTCTATTCTCCCAGGATATCCCCAGGATACAAGGAGACACATGCACATTCTCCTGCTTACTCCGAACCCTCTCCCCAGCAGTATACTCCTCACCTTCCTCCCCAGGTTGCTCCTCCTCCACCCCTGACACAGGATCCGACCCCTTCCAGTACCTTTCAGGAGGATGACGAGGATATACTAAACTCTATCATACAGTGGGAGAAATATTAGATCAAATATTGGCTGCAAGAAACAAAATTCAGAAGTTCCATAGATCTAAGAGAACTTGGACATCCAGGAGTTCCATGGATCTAGGAGAACTAGGACATTCAGGAGTTCCATGAATCTAGAAGAACTAGGAAATCCAGGGGTTCCACAGATCTAGGAGATACAGGAGTTCCAAGGGTCTAGGAGAACTAGGACATCCAGAAGTTCCATGGATCTAGGAGAACTAGGACATCCATGAGTTCCATAGGTCTATGAGTTATAGAAATTGGGAATATGTAAGAAGAATATAAACAAATTTGAAAATTCCGCAAATTTGCAAATAATCTGCAATTATTGCAGTTGCTTATTTCACACATCCTCAGAAGTATAGAAGATTAGAGTAGAAAGAGGAATAGTTTGGATTTGAAAAATTCGTCTGCTAGAGTTAAAATCTCTATAGCGGGGGGGATATATGTGTGTAAATACACACAAAAGATATGAGAAGCTAGAATCGATTGAAACCCGGCTAAATTCTCTGAGAAAGGTTACTGAACGATGGAGAGGATAGATGGATAGAGAGTGAGCTCAACGATGAATAGAAAAGTATAAAAGGTTCAATACTGAGCCTGGATCAATACATTGGTGCAGTGGAGACCTCTACGCAAGATTACAACCGAGATGAGACAATCTACGATAGAAACGAACCAGAACCGGAAATCAATATTCGGAAAGAGAAGAACCCTTAGAGCAGCTATTTTTATACCAGTTATAATTTTATGTACAAATAAGAGCGGCCATATTATAGTATAATTTTGCTTTGAATTTTGGTAGATTTTCCATATTCCTCTAATATTTTGGTCCCCCACACACTTTGGCTTTGTATTCGAACAAAAAAGGCCTCAAATTGATTTTTTTCTCAGATAAATGTAGCAATATTTAATCCCTGCTTTGTGATACAATTTGGAATTATTTTTGATGAATTTTGATCATGATTAGGTAGTTTTTCACCCTATCCTTCATGAATTAAGCCTGATTAGCGTCGTAAAATGATTGAAAGATGTGATTAATGATAAAATCAATCCGTTACAAAAATGACAAGTTGTTTTCAACCTATCCTACACTACCTACTAAAGGTTGGATAATATAATTGTAAAAATATTTTTATTGTTCCACACGCTTCTTTGGGGCATTTTTCACTCAACAATTTTTAAAAAGTCTGAAAACTTTTGATCTCTCTCCCAGTGCCTTAAATAAATCAAGAAAGACGAAACAGGTCTCATTTGCATTTATATACCTCCAGTTAGTAAACTTTGAGCCCTGTTGTAGCGGTGGGCTAGTTTTTAAACTTTCCAGTGTAGAATTTATACGGGCTGTGATAACCGTTTTTGTAAATTCCCGTTGATTGAATAAATTTTACAATGTTCATCTTCTTTTTTGTTTTGTGTCGTGTTTATTATTTTTTTTTAATTTGATCTTTATTTGTTGTGCACTGTTGTATTGCATGAAAATGGTATACATACAATATACATTGTACAAATATTGCTGTTGCGTGTATTAGTGTGTAGTGTAGTGTAGTGTAGTGTAGTGTAGTGTAGTGTAGTGTAGTGGTGTCGTGTGTGTAGCGTAAGTGTAGTTGTGTGTGTAGTGTAAGTGTAGTGTAGTTGTGTGTGTAGTGTAGTTGTGTGTGTAGTGTAGATGTGTGTGTAGTGTAGTTATGTGTGTAGTGTAGTTGTATGTGTAGTGTAGTTGTGTGTGTAGTGTAGTTGTATGTGTAGTGTAGTCATGTGTTTAGTGTAGTTGTGTGTGTAGTGTAGTTGTGTGTGTAGTGTAGTTGTGTGTGTAGTGTAGTTGTGTGTGTAGTGTAGTTGTGTGAGTAGTGTATATGTGTGTGTAGTGTAGTTGTGTGTGTAGTGTAATTGTAAGTGTAGTGTAGTTGTGTGTTTAGTGTAGTTGTCTGTGTAGTGTAGTTGTGTTTGTAGTGTAGTTGTGTGTGTAGTGTAGTTGTGTAGTGTAGTGTAGTGTAGTTGTGTGTGTAGTGTAGTTATGTGTGTAGTGTAGTTGTGTGTGTAGTGTAGGGGTGTGTGTAGTGTAGTTGTGTGTTTAGTGTAATTGTAAGTGTAGTGTAGTTGTGTGTGTAGTGTAGTTGGGGGTGTATTGTAGTTGTGTGTGTAGTGTAGTTGTGTGTGCAGTGTAGTTGTGTGTGTAGTGTAGTTGTGTGTGCAGTGTATTTGTGCGTGTAGTGTAGTTGTGTGTGTAGTGTAGTTGTGTGTGTAGTGTATTTGTGTGTGTAGTGTAGTTGTGTGTGCAGTGTAGTTGTGTGTGTAGTGTATGTGTGTGTGTAGTGTAGTGTAATTACACTCAAATTAAAGTAGGTCCTGTCTGATTTACTACTATATCGTGTAAACCTTTGTCTAATGTTTAATTTGAAAGATATTGTTAAGTTTTCCTCTATTTGTTCTGTAGCAAGAAATCTACAAGTCACTTTAAGAGAGTTATAATAACCAATATTATTGTTCAAAGAGAAAACATGGATATCTTTTTTATTGTCGATCAGAAAGTTTTTAAAAGTACAGTTGTGATTCGGATGTATCACTCTAAAATTTGAGGGTAAAGTTTACAGTTCCCTTAAAAATGTTGAAGCGCTGAACCTGTGTGGGACCTGCCACTGTACCTGTGAGTTGGGGTGCTCTAAAAAGAGTGGCGCAACGCTGCCTGAATTTCTATTTTCTAATATTTGCTTGAGAATGAATTGTTTACTTAGTTGTATTCATGTTTACAATATTGATTATAGGTTAATACCAAGTTCAAACATTTCTTATTTTCGGTGAAACAATTTATCTTTAGTTTGTAATCTTGGCGTTGTAACATTTTAAGAACATTTTATTCAGAACAAAATGAACTTTGATGACATTTTACAATTTTATCTATTCATACAAACTTAGCATAAAAAATAATACATTTAGCATAAAGATAAACGTTTTAAATAATTTAGTTGTGTATTAACGTATTGTATGTTTTACATTACACTAAACATTTTTTATAAACTTATCTACATGTATAATGCATATGTATCTTCGCAACCTAATGTTGTAAAACTTCGATAATTCAAACTTAGATTATTTAATCTAACAAAATTCAGAGTTTAAAACATCAAAGATCTACGACATTGAGTTGCAAAGATCTTGGAATTAGAAAATCAGAGTTTATGGCAAAAACTCAATTCATTTGTCTTTTTAGCCATCTGTTTATCTATCTATCTTCCTACCTATGTAGCAATGTCATTATATTATTGTAAATGCTATAAAAGGAAACCCGTTCGTTTTCAAGTATTTCTAACTTCTCCCTTCTCCAGCATCTGGAAATCTTAAATAATTTTTATTTATTTTCATTTTAAAAGTTTTAGCTCCTTGGATGTTTATATTTGAGAATAGGTTTAAAATAAACATCCGGGGGTTAGTGCAGATCACTGTAGAGCACCCCCCGGGGTGGTTAATGTAACGCTCTTTCAGGCGCTAACGCGCTTAAACTTAATAAAAAGCTATCTCAGCATTTCTTTATTTATATTTTTCGCGTTTGTGAATCACGGCAAAGATTTTTTTGCCTTTTTTTGACAAATTTTTCAACCTCAAACTTAAATCTTAAATATAATAAAATAAATAATTATTTGGCGCTTCAATTTACATACAAGGGTTAAACAAACATTGATTTTTCTAGAATTATTCAGTAACAGAAGAACCGGAGAGCTCATTATTTGGGTGTCTAGTCCAGGTCCATGTACACTTTAGATTTATCCTGCTCATTATTTGGGTGTCTAGTCCAGGTCCCTGAACACTTTAGATTTATCCTGCTCATTATTTGGGTGTCTAGTCCAGGTCCCTGAACACTTTAGATTTATCCTGCTCATTATTTGGGTGTCTAGTCCAGGTCCCTGAACACTTTAGATTTATCCTGCTCATTATTTGGGTGTCTAGTCCAGGTCCCTGAACACTTTAGATTTATCCTGCTTATGATACGTAATAAAAAAGAAAAAGGAGGTAAATGTTTGTGATAGGGTTTTTAATAGTACAGATTTATGAAAATAGAAGAGAAATAAACCAAAATATTTAAATCTTTATATTTAAGTCTTTTTACCAAAAACGTTTTCTAATTGCTTCAAATGTTTAGAATAAGGTTATTCATTTTATATTTCACGTTTTTATCATGGAAATTCAAAATTTCAGTTTATTTTTTTTAAGTCCTATAAAATCAATTTATTTCTTTAGACGTCACTTTTTTCCATAGAAATTAATTTAATAATATTAATCCTTATCGATAGGTCTGAGTCAGACACAAGATGTCCTGAAAAACTAAAAGTGTGTCCACAAACAACGTCTGCGCTTTTTTTCTGTAAAAAATGAAGAAAAGAAATAAATAGAAGTGAACTCAGAATCCAGAATGATCTGGTAGAATTTTTTTAAAATTCAAATGTTCAAATACCACAATATTACTCAATATCAGAAGTGACCGGCGTTGCCCGTGGAATTACAAAAATTGTTCTTGAATTCTGGGGAATATGCCATCTATCAAATGTTACTCACATTTCTTTAAGTTACTGTTTGAACGATTAAAGATATACTTTTAACAATAATCACTTAGAATTTAGATGAACACAAGTAGCTTATGCAGCAGACATGGGAATAAAAATAAAGGAAACGTAGACATTATTAAATTTTTATTCTATTTCTTATGAAACCAATAAATAAATTTCACAACTTTCATCAAATCTCTTTATATTAAAGGAAACCAGTTTTCCGATACAACAACTTACTTGATTCTTTCTTGGTTGAAATTTTAGTTTGGTGCAAACCCCCCTTACTTTACATAAAATATGGTTAAATACATAAATGTATAAAAATACGTTGTGGATACAAAGCCGTAAGCACCCTTTTCCTTGCACTCATATTGATGTTAAAATTAAATTATTTATTTGAACACACTGTTATAGTTTAAAGATAAGTCCGGGAGCTTGGTATATACTATACTAGGCTGTATACTGTGTTTGCTATTGGATAAACATTGTTTACTTCAGGCCTAGCAGGCATGTGCCTTACAATAGGCTAATAAATTCATCGGTTTAATCTTTGCAAACCTCTACCCCCCCCCCTCACCTCCCATACTCCCATACTCTCCCATTTATTCTACTTTCCCATCCCATTTAATTGCTCTCCAACACCTCCCCATACCCTTTCTTTTATTCTATATTCCCTCCAACCCCATCTACTTTCCTTCCAACATATACCTTTATTTTTTTCTATATTTCCTCCAACCCCATCTAATTTCCTTCCAACATATACCTTTCATTTATTCCATATTCTCTTCAATCCCATCTAATTTCTTTTCAACACCTCCCCATACCCTTTCTTTTATTCTACATTCCCTCCAACCCCATCTAATTTCCTTCCAACATTTACCTTTAATTTTTTCTATATTTCCTCCAACCCCATCTAATTTCCTTCCAACATATACCTTTCATTTATTCCATATTCTCTTCAATCCCATCTAATTTCTTTTCAACACCTCCCCATACCCTTTCTTTTATTCTACATTCCCTCCAACCCCATCTAATTTCCTTCCAACATTTACCTTTCTTTTATTTTACATTCCCTCCAACCCCATCTAATTTCCTTGCAACATTTACCTTTCATTTATTCTATATTCCCTCCAACCCCATCTAATTTCCGTCCAACAACTCTGAATTTCTCTTCGAAACCGCTAAAACTTCCCTCCAACACCTCTAAATATCCCTTCCAACACCTCTGAGTATCCCTCTAAGACATCTAATATCCCTCCAACACCTCTAAGTATCCCTCCAACACGTATCTCAAATATCCATACAACTCCTCAAGCTTCCCTCCAACACCTCTAAATATCCATCCAACACATCTAAGTATCACTCCAACACCAAACATATCCATACAACTCCTCAAGCTTCCCTTCAACACCTCTAAACTTCCCTTTAACACCTCTTTTATTCCCTCCAACACCTTTTAACTTCCCCCCCACCAACCTCTGAATATCCATTTAACACCTCTGAAATCCAACTCCGACACTTTTTTGTTCATGTCCCTGTTTCCAGTGTATATCAAACACATCCCAACATCTTTCTTATTCATGTATCATGTATCATGCTTGTTACCTTTATTTGATAAAATTTCCTAGTTGTAGATAAAGTTACAAGACGGTTAGTTTGTTTACGCTAAGATTAATTTAACACGTGCCGAGTGCCGACACTTTCAGGGGATTAAAGTCGTTTTTCTTTAAACAGTTCAAAATATACATTTCCTTATTTCACGGCGTAGACAAGAGGCCATCTTATTATAAGGTTTCATGAGTTAAGAAAAGGCTAAATTCTCTTGCTTCATCGTTTATTGCTTTATACCTATCTGATGTATTTGTTTTAATAAACAAATATTTTAAATAAAAACGTAGAACCCAGAATGCATTGGACATGTTAGCAAGCTTTTGGAGTTTTTCTTTTAGTCTTTTTAGATTTTACTTCTAAATACAACTCAGTATCTATATTTTCTAAAATATATCAACTAGTCAAACTAAACCTAAAGAGACTTTAAATTAAAGCTAATTAAAACTATTCCATCCAGAAACTGTGGGTTTCTGCGAAATGAACAGTTTAACCCAACTATGGAATTTATTCCCCTGAGTTTTCTTGAAATGAATGTTATCTCAACTCCTACATATGTCTATCTACTTATCCATCTCTACCTCATAGTTTATTCACTTTTTATCAAAGAAACACTTTTTTGTCAAGTTGTAATTTTTCTTGTTATTTAACTATCTGTCTATCTATCTATCCTGAGGTTTCACTGCCTGCCTATCCGGGTTCTTTAATCTTTTTATTATGTATTTAATATTTGTATAATAAGTCGGGTTCTTTGCTCATTATCTTTCTACAGCTTTTCTTTCTATTCATCTATCTTTCTATCTTTGTGTCTATTATCCGCATTTTCTTACTCTCATTCTCATCCTTACTCTGATCCTAATTCTTACTCCGATCCTCATCCTTACTCTTATCTTCATCCTTACTCTCATCCTCATCTTTACTCTCATCATCATCCTTACTCTCATCATCATTCTTACTCTCACCCTCATCATTACTCTCATCCTCATCTTTAATCTCATCCTCATTATTACTCTCATTATTATCCTTACTCTCATCCTCATCCTTACTCACATCCGCTTCCTAATTCTCACTATTTTCCTTACTCTCATCCTAATCCTTACTCTCATTCTCATCCTTACTCTCATCCTCATCCTTATTCTTATCCATATCCTTACTCTCATCCTCATCTTTACTCTCATCCACATCTTTACACTCATCCACATCCTTACTTTCATCCTCATCTTTACTCTCATCCTCATCCTTATTCTTATCCATATCCTTACTCTCATCCTCATCCTTATTCTTATCCATATCCTTACTCTCATCCTCATCTTTACTCTCATCCACATCTTTACACTCATCCACATCCTTACTTTCATCCTCATCTTTACTCTCACCCTCATCCTTATTCTTATCCATATCCTTACTCTCATCCTCATCTTTACACTCATCCACATCCTTACTTTCATCCTCATCTTTACTCTCATCCACATCCTTACACTCATCCTCATCCTTACTCTGATCCTTCTCCTTACTCTCATCCTCATCCCTACTCTCGTTCTCATCTTTACTCTCATTATTATCCTTACTCTCATCCTCATCCTTACTCTCATCCTCATCCCTACTCTCATACTCATTCTTATTTCTTTAACGTTGACAAATGCATAAAACTATTCAAGCTTTTTCTTCATTTATTTTTAATCCCAATGTTCTGCAAATATTTCGGTATTTTTGAATGAATTCCTTCAGTTTTTGTTTTACATATCTTATTTTTTTTAGAAATATGTATGTTTGAAATATTTATAACATTCTTTAAATAATTTACATTTAAACAAAATGTTGAATTTGATCTCTATTCTATATCAAGGTGTGTCAATGTACATACGTACATAACTATTTTTTCTATGTATATCAAACATAAAATGTGAGACTAAGACATAAAACTTTGGAAAATTACACTTTTTCAGAGGATTTCATTCAAAGCTTCAATCACAGAAAATGAACAATGTTTCTAATACGGTGGTAGGCGATAATACCAATATAATGAAGACGACTTTTTTATGAAAGTTTATATTGTTTACAAGTTTTTTGGAATTACAAGTTTACAAGTAATTAAAGAGAAGCTTTTTTAATTGACAGTTTCTCTTTGTTTCCATTATTTTATGTATGTATGCTGTGTAAAATCAATATTTAAGTCGAAAGTCGTCTTCATTGTATTGGTATAATCGCTTACCACCGTATTAGAGCGCACGTTAAACTAAAGCGAATTTCATGTAACATTATAATCTTGTATGTTTAAATCATAACTCCTCCAAGTCTTATTGTAGAGTTACGAAGTTAAACAAAAATGGTTTGAATTTCTAATATGTAACCACGTTAAACTAAAGTAAATTTCACCTAATATTGAACTTTTTTGTTGTTTCTAATCAAAACTTCTTTTAATGAGGAGCTAATGAGAAGGACAAAAATGCTTTGAATTTATAAAATGTAGACGCATAAATTTTCTTTTCTTATACTTGTGCGTAATACTAAAACTAGATAAGCTACGCGGTCACAAAGTTGTTCGTGTATAGTTTTGCATAAATTTGACCTTATCCTTCTGGCTAGTTTGCAGTGCAACCGGATAAATTTTCTTTTTCTCATGTGCGTAAAATAAAAACTAGAGGATCTACGAGGTTGCAATGTCCTACCAGTAATATCACATTAACCTGACCAATTTTGCAGTAAGCCCAGCAGACTTCAAATCTTGTAAAACCTTATTTAGAAAATTAAGCCGAAAATAAAAGACTTAAATCTTTTAAAATCTTGATATCCTGCAGTTTCACTTTTCCTCCCCTTTAATAGCAAACGCTTGACTGAACACCCCAAGACCGAAATATGCTAAATATGTGATTTATATTTTAATTACATATTTATGAGTTATAAAATCGGTTTATGCTAAGTCCTTAAATCAAGTGAAAAGTTTATAATATTGCGAGGGACAATAAATGTTACAGCCAAGGTAAGTTCAGACCTAAATTCTACGTTTTTTCCTCATTAGGTCGATCCACAAACATTAACAAACATTAAAAAAACATTACAGTCGCCTACAAGCATTAACAAACATTATCAAACATCTAAAAAAACATTTTATGAAAATTTACAAATAATAATTTTTGGCATTTAAAAAAATCGTAGACCGTATGTTTTAAGTTTGAGATCATCTTTCATCTACAAACATCTTCCATCCATTTTCTTCCACCTCCTTCATTCATTTCCCTCTCCTACCATCCCCTTTCTTCCCTCCCCCTCTACCACTACTGCTTTTTACCCCTACAACCCCCCCCCC